GGTGTCATTCACAGATTTGCTAAGCATGCACTCAGTCCCATTATCCAAATCATTAATGAAGTTGTTAACTAATATTGGACCCAGGACAGATCCTTGGGAACCCCACTTCATACCTCTTCCCAACTAGACATTGAGCCACTGGCAATGACTACTTGTTGAGCATGATAATCCAACCAGTTATGTATCTATTTTACAATATTTTCATCTAATATGCATTTCCTTACCTTAATAATGGCTTTAGGGGTGGGTGACCTGGCCACGCCCACCCAGGGCACCATGGTCAGGGGGGTGTCAAGCACACATGTACCCACATGTGTAAGCAGCCCATGCTCACAGCAGCACTCTCCCCCCCACACCCCAGGCAGGAGGTGCGGTGCCCAACCTGTCTCCTGCCTCCAGCCACTGCTCAGGAGGAGCTGGGCCAGGTACATGCAGGTGGGTGGTGCCTTCTCCAGTCCACCCACCTTGATCCCACCTGCAGCAGCACCATTAACTTGGGGGGGTGGCGGGGGATAGCAAAATACAAGTTTGTCCAGGGTGCCATTTTCCCTAAGTCTGGTTCTGATGGGAATGTTCTGGGAGACAGTGTCAAAAGCCTTGCTAAAATCAAGGTATATCACATCCACTGCTCACCCCCTCCATCTACAGAGGCTCTCACCTTATCATAGAAAGAATTCAGGTTGATGAGATATGACTTCCTGTTGGTGAATCCATACTGGCTCTTCTCGATCGCCTTGTTCTCCTCTGTGTGCCTCAACTAATTCCTTAGGGACCTGCTCCGTGATCTTTCCAGGTATTGAGGTCAGACTGACTGGTTTGTAAGACCCCAGATCTTTCTTCTTCTCTTTCTTAAAGATAGACATTCTATTTGCCCTTTTCCAATCATCTGGGACCTCACCTCATCTATGGTTTTCACTGCATTTAGTGCTGAGGGTGGCAAATGTGCAGACAAAAATGTGCATGAAAGTATATGTCATGCTTGCAATAGAGGACTGCTGATCGCTGCTACTCAAAATCTGAGGGGAGCCAGAGTGGTGGGGAAAGGAGTGACACTGTGCATCTCACATACAGCTCAATCAAGTTAATCCTACTTGGTACATAAGGGGCCTTACAGATAGAGAGATGATCAGTTTGGAGTTGAAAATGACTCATGACATTCCCTCTCATTTCTGAACAAGGATTTAGAATTACTTCAGAATAGATATCTCAAGGATATCTAGCTCAGATTTTGAAATAAGATTAGTGCAGAATAATAAAGGACATGGGGATCTATCTTAATCTCTGCTGTGTACTGCTCTGTGCTGCTCAGCCTGTCATTAGATATCTCTAAGGCAGTCTCAGTGGTGTGATTCCACCTGCTCCCAGTGACAAAAGCTATTCCAGAGGTTGCAGTTGGTTTAAAGGTGTTTTGTTTTGTTTTTTACCTGGGCCCTTTTAAGGACTGGCAGGGCTTCACTGACACCCAGGAGAAATTCTGGTTGACTATACTGGAGTTCCCAGGAACTCCTCCCTATACTATACCCACAACCCAAATGTGACTCATGCCTTAAAAGCTATGATCTGGCCCTCACTTTTTATATCAGATCTAGTTCAGGCAAATGCCCATTGACAGTGAAGACAGAGTGAAATATTAAAGGTTTATATTTGTCCACAGGTGTTTAATTTGAATGTTAACTTGTATTACATTGTACCATATTAGGACATAATGTAAATGCAATATTTATTCTGGCTGAAGCCAACAGTAATATGTTCATGTTCGTGTCGTACGTTCAGTCCACCTATGTACAGGTTAAAAACTAAGTACTTTTGTGTGTTTGTTCTCAAGAGGAATGGTAAAGCAAACAGCAAGGGAGATTGGTTCTAAATTCTTAAAGGCTTCCTTCCATTAATTCTTTGGATATATCAAAACTCTTGCCAAGTACTGGATTCTGGTTGTCTGAAGGATTCAGTCTCTCATGAATTATAAGGCCATAATTGTAGTAATATGTGGACTTCTAGTAAACTAGCTACTGTAATTATCAGATCACAACTTTTCTATTCAGTTTTTATTTTGAAACAGTAAAAATGATGAACTAACATTGATTTTTAAGAGGCTAACCCTTTTCCTCCCTCATGATATGTACACATTTGTATATTCAACATGCTAGTCTCTTATTTTTATTTTCAGCACTTCAGTAACCAGAAGCGTGCTTTTCTCATTTTTTCTCATGATAATGTAAATGTTTCCACATTTTGCATATCATGCTTAAAGTGTTAGAATGGGGAATCTGACAGTTATGAATTATTGTGTATATTTCTGCAGGTTTAAAGTTTGGTTCTGCTCTGAAAAACAGCTGGTTTAACCAGTGTTTGCCAAGTGGTAATTCAAGTCCTACCTGCTGACTTGAACAATAAAAATAAGTTTTATTTCCCTGTTGCTTCTATTAAACTTGCAGAGCCAACACACCAACAGTGAGTTTTTGTTTCTTCTTGTGCATCTATCGATCCAGCTAGGTTCCATACAGCTACACCTATGCAAATCCACTTACAGCAATAATGGTACGTGGGTGTTGCCTCCAACTGAGGCCATAGTTGAAGGCATGTAACTGTGTCTCTGAAACTGACCAAGGCTGTTGTGATATTTTCCCAAAATCAAAAAAGCACAAACCCTATAAATGTTTTTCTGAAACAAAATGCAAATCGCCGACCAATCACATAATAAGAAATCGCATTTTCATAGACATAAGGGACGTGTCCAAATGACCGCCGCCGTGCAGTATGTGGCACCACAGACACATCTGGGGTGGAGGGGAAGTTGACCCCTGGATATCGAGGGGTCAAAAAAACCTGCACAAAAAAAAGCAGACTGGCATATACAGGGGCAGCATGCACTTCTCAAAGCCAGAGCCAGGCTGGCCAGAGCCACGCTCTGGCTACCAGCTTGGATCCAAGTGGCAGGATGGCTGCTGCTGCAAGATCGCTGCTGCTGCAGCCCCAGGAGGCTTCCAGGACAGCACCTCCAGGGGCCCCAGCCTCCCCTACCCCAGCCGGAGTAACTTGCTGTGTGCTAGAGGGTATGTGGCACAGGCATTCCCTGGGGACAACTAGCAGCGGCACAAGGTATGCCACCGCTAGTTGCCCCCAGGGAACCAAATGTCCATGCTCATCTGGATGAGGCCAAGGTGTGTATTGTCTTAACTATGAAAAGTTTGCAATTCTGTAAATAAAATTAAAGAACACAATAACTGAGTCACCAGTTTACTAACTAGGTATGTTTCCCTTTTCTCTTCCCCTTTGACTGGCATGTGGATTTGTTCATTCAACACCTGTTATAATGTTTCAGCCAAACCAATCAGTGTGCCCTGAAACACACAACAGTTTTAAAAATTGATCATATCAGTTCTGCTATCATCTGAGTTTTTAATTTCACAGGTTTGCTTCATCTCAGTGCAACAAACGGTGACACATCTTCCTTGGAATGTACTTGGAGCAGAAATCTGTATCTTGAGTTTGAAGTGCCAGAAGACAATGGAGAAGCCCAAATTTAAGTTCTATCAGAATGTTTATCCCTAGTCTAGATTCAGCTATGATATTAGACCATGACCTGTACTTTGTGAAATCCGTCTGAAGTGTCCTCCTATTGCTTTTGTAAATGTAATGTTTCTGTGCAGAGTCCATTGTGTGCTTCTGAAGGCAGCGTCTTTCTCATTCTGAGTGTATATTCCAGCATACTTCTGGTACCACTAACACAGCTTAAATGAGTTTGCTTTGCTGCCGTACCTGCAGAAAAAAATAGGGTGTTACAATGCAGAATTCAGTCCTCCTGCCAGCACCTACCATGGTAAAACAGCTCCTTAAAGCAGCCATGGAGGATTGGAAGCAAATGTGGAGAGATCAGTTTCCCTGAGAGTTTTCTCAAGCATTGGGAAGTTGTCATCAATCGTACTTTTTCATTTAACTATCCATGAAGCTGATGATGGCTGCAGAAGAATGTGTATTGATACTATATTAAATATTCTTTATCACTAAAGTTTGAAGAGTGTCAACAGACATGTGCTAAAGTTTAGAAGGGGTTGTACCTGGGAATCTCCCATTTTTTCCATGTTATTTTTATGATATCAGAAAATAACAAAAGATCTCATCCTTAGACTTTTCCCCTGCATGTTTTCATGGCAGGCACAATAACTGGGCTACATTTTTTTTTCAGGTATTGCACCAGTTGCATAAAATGGAAAAGCATTTGCCCTTCTCTTAATGGTTTTAGCCTTTATCAGATCTTTTCTGCCAACTATGTTGCAGCAATATAGCGGCTGGTTCTTTAGTTTTTCCTTTAATTTTTCCTTTGTTTCTTTTCTTCTAGCATCTAGTAGTAGAACTGCAAATTTAAATTGCCTGGGGGAGCAGTGTAGTACTAGATTTTGTTAACCTTTATTTACTGGTTAAAGCTGCATGTAAATGAAAGAATCTATCTTGATTGGCACGGCTTAAACTAAGTTTGCACAGCTGGTGTTTAGGAAAAAAACATTTTATATTGTTATTTGTAAACTGAGTATATTTGATGTGAAAGTTGCTGAAAGATGACAAATCCCACACAGCCATTCCTTTAGAGTCATTATTCACAGGAGAATTGTTCCTTTGGTGCTGACAGAACAGTGCTGCATCTGACTTGCAGTCTCAGGTATAAAATGTACAGGTACACAAAAAATTTTCCACTGCCCTATCATTCATTCTGCCCTATCAAGTTGCCTTCTCCTTCTGGGTACATATAGGTGATAGAGTATTTTAATTCTGGACACCTCACCGTTCCCCAGGTAGAAGCTAACAATGATTGTGAACGTTATGTTAGATGGACACCTGACCGAGATAAATGGATTAGTACAAAAAAACATTTTTCTGATTAAAATGATTTTTGATTGCTATCAGCCTGGGCTAGAAAGGAATCACACCAACATAGAGCTAAGAGATGCAATTGTGTGTTACCAATCCTCCCACGAACATTCATTTTACTTACTGTATTTTAGGGTGGCATGGGGCCTGCGGGATCTGGTGGACCTTCTGGAATTCCTGGGCCAATGGTATGGTGTTAAGCAGAACTCCCATTAGCATTTGTTACATGCCATTAATGTTTTCTATATAGCAGTAAAACGTTGATTTTTTTTTATTATTATTATTTTAATAGGGGCTCCCAGGAAGTATGGGACAACCCGGAATGAAAGGTGATAAGGTGATTTAAATATTTCCATTATCATAGAGATACTTTGGGCTTTCTTTATCAAATAATTGAGCAAGATATTTATTTTGCAAGGCCCCCCTTATTTTGAATTCTTTTCTCTTCTGTTTTCTTTTCAAACAAATGTAGACTGAGACTATAGCCTTCCTACTATGTGTAGTAACAGCAAGAGCTATGTTAGTGGTTTTGGCAGGGCTGTTTTTTACAATGATACATCCTGCACTATCATTCCAAGAATCGTGTTACTAGATTTAAGTATCCTGATTTCATAGGCTCACAGAAAAAATTGGGCTGGAAGAGACCTCAGAAGGTCATCCTCACTCAGCACAGGATTGTTTCTGTCCAAATTATCCCAGACATCCTGTTTGTCTCTCACCTGTACATAAAAACTTCTATTGATGAAAATTCCCCAACTCCTCTATGTAATCCAATCCAGTGCTTAAACACTCTTCTATTTAGAAAGTTCTTCCTAGCGTCTAACCTAAATCTTTCTCACTGAACTGTAAAGCCATTACAACCTGTCTTGTCCTGTTCCCCCATGGACATGTAGAAAAATTGATCACAACCCTCTTCATATTTGCAAACTGCTTTCAAATCCCCTCTCAGTCTTCTCTTCTTTAGACTAAATCATCATAATTCTTTCAACCTTTCCCCATAAGTCATGTTTTCTAGGCCTTTAATTTACATGTTTTTATTTCTGTCATTTTGAAAAAATGTATCATTTAAAGCTGCATGTATGTGTCTGCATAAAATAATATGTTGTTCAGGGTGAACAAGGCATTGCAGGAGATCTGGGAGACCAGGGGTATCCAGGAGACAAGGTAATTTAGACCAGCACCACTTTGACAGTTTTTTGCTTGTAATCCTGTCAGTAGCCCTATCTTCTTTTAAATCGCAGCGTATCATTTTGATTAAAGTAGACTTCAGCAGGTAACAGCTACTGAATGCCACACAGCTACTACATTTTTGTAACATTATATTAATTACTCTGTTTGAGAAATAAATGATCAAAAACATGCAAAATGTATGGGCCAAATTCAGTCTGCCATGTGGACAGAGATTCATGCCAGAAAATGTAAAGGAGCAAAGACAGCATGGAGCAGTCTGGTTCCTACCAAAACTCATTAAGAGACTGTTATGCAGCACATTTGCTGTTAAAGCTAGAAAGAATCCACTTGTACCAAACCTGAAGTGATTAAACCCCAGGGGCAGCAGCCAGACAAAACTTGATTAGACAGGCCAGGATATCCCTAGATATTACAAAAATGGGTAATAATTTTTTATCTTCTCTTCGAGTAATTTTTTTTTTAGTTAATCCATAACTCTTAAATGACCTTGGAATCTTGTTTTTACAAAAAAAAATCTGATTATATTTTGGTCTCATAAAGATGTTATTACAACAGAAATAATTACAATAATGTAACCTAATAAAATTATTTTTCTGAAATCTGAGTGGATAGATCTGAAATCTGGTTTGAGTGGTAAAGTGAAGCCATTTTTTTTACTACATACAATGTAATGCTCAGTGCATTTTCAACAATATTTAATAGATTATTCTTTTAAGGGTGCTGTTGGTTTGCCAGGACCACCGGGGATCCGAGGAAAGCCTGGACAACTTGTAAGTTTGCCCACCTTTTTGCACTCTGGTTACGTCAATATGCACCACAAATGCTGACACTTGTTTGCATTGTTCAGAAAAGCCACATATTTTAGAGATTATTTCAAACCTCTTTTATACTGGTGTAAATTGGGAACTGACTTACTTGGAGTTATGGAAGTGACAACCCTTATGTAAGTGAAATTAGATTCCTGTCCAAGATAGGTCTTTTTCTGCTCTTTCACTAAACCAGCAGATCAGACTTTTCAGTTCCACTCAGAGCATACTTAGTCCACATATATTTAACACATACTTAATCATTGTTATACTATTAATTCACTTATCCCCAAATGTATATAGCCTAAAGTCAGTGTAGAAATTCTGTTAGTTGATGATTTAACTAGTTAGCTTTTCATGGAAATCATGGGACATTGTTACACGTGCATGGGGGTGCACTTGAATTGGAGTGGCTCAAAGAGCTGCTCAGATTAAAGTGCCCTCAGCATCTTGTGCATCAGCATCCCTGTGCTTCAAAATGGCAGTGAGGACACTTTAATCAAGTCTGCTCTGATGCACCGTAATTACAGCGCATGCAGCCTCCCCGTATGTCCATAGGCACCCATCGATTCCTGTGTATGTGTGTATGTCAGTTGTTTTTTAATCCACAACTTGAGTGACACTGTGGAGCATTCATGTGCAAATTAATTAATACAATTGTATTGCTTGAAGCAATTTCATAGATAAAAATGGGGACTGCCAGGTTGCCACTTGGACTAAGCAGGGCTAATCTTTTATCACAGGGCTGGGGGAGGTTATGGATTCTGTAGTTTAAGTGCTTTTGATAATTTCTGTGCAGTGCTTCTGTTCCTGTCGACTTTGCAGATGCTGAGGCAGGGAAGCAGCTCTGAGTATGAGTTAGTTTGGCTGTATCATCTCCCTTGTTGCAATGCTAACACTGCAGAACTGAGATGGTTTGCAGCAGTAAAACAAAGGATGTTTTGATTGTGATAATCCAGACCTTGATTTTGGGAAAGTTACTTACCATAAATTAGTGATTTGGCTCTAGAGCAGTAGCAAAATGATAGAAAAATTAGGGTTGGAAGGGACCTCAGGAGGTTATCTAATCCAACCCCCTGCTCCAAGCAGGACCATCCACAACTAGATCATTCCAGCCAGGGTTTTGTCAAACCAGGCCTTAAAAACCTCCAAGAATGGAGATTCCATCTCCTCTCTAGGTAACCTGGTCCAGTGCTTCACCACCTTCCTAGTGAGAGAGTTTTTCCTAATATCTAACCTACGCTTCCCTTGCTGCAGCTTGAGACCATTGCTCCTTGTTCTGTCATCTGCCAACACTGAGAACAGTCTCGCTCCATCCTCTTTGGAACCCCCTTTCAGGTAGTTAAAGGCTGCTATCAAATCCGCCCTCGGTCTTCTCTTCTGAAGACTAAACAAGTCCAGTTCCCTCAGCCTTTTCTCATAAGTCATGTGCCTCATCCCCCTAACCATTTTTGTTGCTCTCCACTGTACTTATTCCAACTTGTAAACATCTTTTTTCTTTTTCTTTTCTTTTTTTTTGGGGGGGGGAGAGGGCATTAAACCTGGACACAGTACCTCCGCATGTGGCCTCACCAGTGCAGAGTAGATCAGAGTAATTACTTCCCTCAGTCTTCTGACAATGCTCCTACTAATGCAGCCCAGTAGAGGTGTGCAAAGCAGGCCGTATTCAATTTGGGTTCGGCCCAGTTTGGGGGACAATGATTCTATTCGTTGATTCAGATCACTGTCCCGATTCAATTCAGCCAAATCAAAGATCTGCAGATTTGATTCTGATTCAGAGAATCAGCAATGTGGCTATAGACACCACTTTAAATGTCTTTTCTACATACCTCAAGGTGCCAGGCGCAGCTCATGAATGCTGAGATGGTGGGGCGGATGGAACTTCCCACCAGAGCGCTGGGGGTCCCCCGCGTGCTTGGTCTTGCCCCACCCCCGTGCCTTCCTGGCTTGACGACCAGCCACGGTGGGACCCTGGGTGCCCCCCCAGACCCAGGAAGTACCAATCACCATGCCGGGGAGGGGGGGGTCCCCTGCACACTCTGCGGCAGACCTGGAAGTGGACCAGAAGTGCTTCTGGTCCACTTCCAGGTCCACCGCCGACCATGCTGGGGACACCCTGCTGTCCTGTGGGAGGCTCCGTCCTCCCCACCATCTCAGTGTTCATGAGCTGCCTGGTACCTTGAGGTAAGTAGAAAAAACATATAAAGCTGTGTCTATGTCCGAATCGTCAAATCTCTCTAAATTGATTCAGAGGCTTCCGATTCGATTCAGAGAGATAAATGGGCCTGCTGATTCGATTCGGATTCAGAGATTTGGCTGCCGAATCGGGCCAAATCTTCGCCCAGTTGAATTAGTGACTGAAGCTGCTCACAGCCCGACAGCCCAGTAGCCTTTTTGTCAACAAGGGCACACTTCTGACTCATATCCAGCGTATTGTGTACTGTAACCCCCAGTCCTATTCTGCAGAGCTGCTGCTTAGCCAGTCAGTTCCCAGGCTGTACTGGTGCATGGGATTCTTCCATCCTAAGTGCAGGACTTTGCATTTGTCCTTTGCTGAATTTCATAAGACTAAAATGCTCTGCTCTGCCACTGTACCCCTAGATCAGTGATTTTCAACCTTTTTTTAAATTTTGGACCCCTAATAAATTTCAAATAGAGGTGCAGACCCCTATGGAAATTTCAAATGAAGGTGAGAGCCCCTTTGAATTCTCATACTTTTGATTGATCATAGTCATCCTTCACGGACACCTTAGACACGGTCTGCAGACCCCCTGGGGTTGAAAGCCACTTGTTTTCAGTTGAAAGCCACTGCCATAGAGGACCACACCCACATGAGTTTATATGACAATTCCTGTAACATGCCCTATTTTGAAACATCTAGAAATTATCATTTTCGTTGTTGTAGTTGTAAAAAAAGACAAATGTTTGATTAGGAATGCCAGTAATAAAGAAATCTTCATAATTAAATTGACAAAGAAACAAAACTTAAAATCCAGCTAAGTATTTTGATTGTTATTTTAATAAGTATTTTCTATTACAAATCTGTTTTTTTATAAGGCTGTGATTTCCTATCCAATTTAAAATTATTTTTGGCTTTTTAAGGGGAAAACTGGAGAACCTGGACCTCAGGGCCCATCGGGTCCTCCTGGGCCTGAGGTAAGAAATTGTATAAAAATGAAAATAAGTGTCATTTACTTTTAATTGTGGTTGAAAACAAAAATGACAAGTATGAGGCTGCTCTGCTCAAAGATTTGGTCTTAGATTGGCTTGAAAGTGTCAGCCACCTAGGGCCTGTGGGAGAAATTGAGCCCACGGACCACTGGATCCGGGGCAGAGCCAAAGATATTTTGTACTCTGTACTGTGCTGTGGCAGCAGCAGCAGTAGCTGAGCCTTAGTCCCATCCTGCTTTGGACCCAAGCTGGGTTGTTCCAGCCTGCTGGCTGAAAACATTGCTGACTGCTAACTTAAAGTGTGGGTCTTTATTGTTCTTTTTATCATGTTTCACTGTTGTACAAATAAATTAGTTCAACTGCTTGTTGTACAATAAGGTATTATTGCAATAATTTTACTGCCCCAAATTGATGCACATTCTTTGTATATTGCTGGAAGTACACCATTCATATGTGTAATTTAGTTCCAGGTACTTTTTCATTACAACTAGTACGTATGATACTTTAAATGACATTTCCATGCATGAACTCTTCAGCATGTTTACATTCAGATTTTTCCAAGACTGGCTGTATATTTATGTTTGCATCTTATAACAGAGCAAATGTATTTGAGAACACTGAAAAGACCAGACACTAGGCAGTCTGGATATATTGTTTCAAATGTTGACCTTGGCATAGCAGTTAACTTAGAACTCCACATCAAGTTCCAACATCTGTGGAAGTCCACATTAAACCTAGCTTGATCTTTGCAATGCAGTATTTGTGGGCTTCATGGCATTTGCATGATGTGTAGACAGAATGCTTCAGACTATACAGAAAAGCCACACCATTCTCAGGACAGAAAAAAAGTATCCGTTTTTTCTTCTTAGTCAGCTAAACCCTTACAACAGATTTATGTAAAAACCTTTCTGATCTTTAATATGAGTATATATATGTTAAATACAGTATAATTTCCACTGATGATTGCAACAAATGCTAGAATCATGTTATCTCTCTAAGAGCATGCCCCTTTAGAATGACACAAGGGTAGGCCCTATGACTTCACTACCTCAAGAATGGATCATTGGCTTGTGCCCCCTGTTCTTCTCAGTGGCTGAGTCCAAAATAGCATGACTCACTTGTTGCAGTCTCACCCTTGGGAAGTCTTGAGGTCTGTAGACATTTTAAACCAGTACAGATCAGCTTTTTCAAAGCAAGCCAGCATTTAATAGTTAACAGGAATACAGTATTTGTATTTGAGTAAAATCAGTTCATAGCGCTTACTCACTCATTTCTCTCTCACACTCTCTCTTTCTCGCATACACACACACACACACACACACACACACACACACACCCTCCCTATGTTATAAGAACCATGTTAAGATTCCAAAATCAAGTGAGCAGATTACAGTAACCAGGTTTTTTGAACAATCTTGTGAATGTGTATAATTGTGTGTCTTTAATTTTACAGCCCATGTTTATGGGGAAAAGGCAAATCTTTTAGAACCAAATTGTCTTTTATTTAAGTTTTTTCTCAAGATAGTGTTGTTAACAGAATTTAATGGTCTACAGTGCCTCTGATGGTGGTTATGCGATTCAAATACCAGTAGTTCTTTTGATGCAAGAAAATGCATAGTTGTTTAGTACTGGGTCCCTTGTGGTGTTCCAGACTCCTTGTTAAATGGGCTAGAGGCAGAACCAGAGGAAAAATTTCTGTCTGAAAAATATAGAATTTCCTGCTGCCCAGAGGGTACGGAGCAAGCTGGAGTCCTCAGAAGAACTAAGCATTCCTTGCTTTGTAAATGACCAGAAATGATTAGTTCTTTTGTCTTTGAAAATATGAACAAACAAACATCAACTTTAACATTACTAAGTTATGCACCATAGCTCTCCATATGCTGGCCAGATTGATTTGGGATAAAATGAGTTTCATTGTATTATGAACATAAATAAACATGGTCACCATATGGTAAAATACCAGATACAAATAAGGACAGGACATCTGCATACCACAGTCTTTCAAGAAATGCAGAGTTTCTAGAAGGAACAATATCTGCTTAAAATTTGGGGATTGTGCCTTATTTTTCCCATCACATTCGTGTTTTTAAAAAAGAACTAAATGTCCTCTCAAGGTGGCTGTTTTAACCAAATTGAAACTTGAAAGCATACAGCAGAGACAACCACAATGGAGACTTTGTTGTATGCCGTTAGTGCCTTCCAAGAAGCATTTCTGCTCAGTTCCAGCAGGGTAGGCAGGAGTGATTTAGCTGTTCCCACAGCACCATTGGAGTGGGCAGACTTGTCATAACCCGCATCTGAGAGGTCCTGTGAAGACTGAAGAGGATGCAGCTCTTAACTAGCACTCACTCTGCAGATCCTGGGAGCAATCAGTTAGGTAACATCTGCACTACCTCTGGACCATAAGGAGGAGAACCACAGTGTAGCACAGCTACACCTGCTTCATGTACCTTAAACCCTACAACACTTCATGTAACTGCCTTAGAGCAGCATTGGGCATGTGTCATGAAGCACACGAGACAGAGGGCTTAATGGTGCATGCTCATTAATAGGTAGCTCTATTTCTGAGTTTAGCAAATGCAGAGTGGGCATACCAGGCTTTACTGAAGTGTTCCCTATGTAGGACCAGCAGTCTTTATAAGCTGCAAGCCAGAAAAACCTGGCCTCCATCCAGTATAGACTGGATGGCTTCAGCAGTGGAGGGAAGGGGGTTGCCTATGCCCACACTGGAGCCAAGTGCTGCTGCTGCTTCTCCCAGTCCCCCTCACACCCCACTCCCCAGTGCAGCATGGACGCAGTTGGTAAGGAGCTGCTCCAGGGCCAGGCAGATGGGGACTGCATTCACACTATTGCCATTCTGTGCCACAACTGGAAAGCAAGGGATGGAAGGAGGGAGAGAGAAGTGGCAGCAGTATGGACACAGTTTCCAGCTGCCCAGCTCCATCACAGCTCCCCACTGGCTGGAAGCTGCACCTTTGCCATAGCCAGGGGGAGAGGGGATGGAGGTGGGGGGTGGGTAGGAAACAGTGGCAGCAAAAGGGCCTTGGGAAAGCTCCACGCTGCTTAGCCAAGCATTGGCACAGGCATAGACGTGGACATGGACGAAGGCAAAATGCTCAGGCTTTGTGGGCTGGATCCAGTGGCTCTGTGGGCCAAATCCTGCCTGCAGGCTGTATGTTGCTGACTCCTGCTGTGATGCCACCTGGAGGCCATGTAGACATGCCCTTAGTGCTCCAAAGACTGGAGTAGGTTCTTCCAAATGCTTGCTACATGCTGAACTTTAACATGCATCTGTGTGACAGCTCATCTCTGTTCTAGAAAATATATGAACAACAGAAAGAAGTTGCAGTGGGATTTGGGGGGGGGGGGGGGGCGCTGTCGTATGTAAGAATAGCAAAGCTAATGTTGAAGAAAGGGTTCCCAGGTTTTGAAACTGAGCAAATGATTTCACCTCACAGTTTTCCACAGGTCATTGGCTGAGATCTTCAGACAAAGCAGTCCTCTACCTTGGTTGAGGTAGATGTGAGATATAGCAGTTGCGGATCTTCAAGAAATCCCGTTACAACCTTTTTTTCCTCAGCAGTTTTCTGGAAGGGAAATAAGATGTCACATTTTTTGTTTTTTTTCCCACCTAACCTCATGTAAATGAGGCAGTAATTCCATTAAAATCAACAGTTGCCCTGGTGTTTGACAGAAAAGGCCCATTAGGCCTCACATGTTCTTTTAGGGTATTTTCTTTTTATATGTAGGCCAGCAAGAAGTGGCTTACCAGATCTGTCTTTCCCCTGCAGCTGTTGAACAAAGTTATTTCAGAGCAGGGGTTTAGTAATTCCTGAAAGTGTCGTGGCCATGAGTGTGTGGCTTAAAGTGCTGAGAAGAAGAAACAAATGTTTGGGGTCAGGAAAGAATAGACTTGTCTCAGACCTGCTTTGAGTAACTGTCAAGTCTGTATATTTTTCTCACTTCCAAGTGTCTAGAAAGGTTTAATGTAAAACCATGAGAGATTTATTTTATTTGCAAAACTAATTGAAAACTTTTGTATAGTAGTGTATTTTAACACACTATGCTTATATTTGCATAATAACTGTAAGAGTACTGAACGTATCTAGGTTATTGCTCTTAATGCAGATAGAATTAGAATGAGTTCTAACAGCTTTCCACGTGTTCATAATGCTTTAATAATAGGCATATCTTGCTCCATGAGTCCATTTTAATTACCCTCCTCCCAGAGTAAGGATTATATATAGTTTCCTTCAGATGTGCCTCAAGTATTATAAACAGATTTCATTTGGAGCAAAGGGAGCATTAGTCATTATCTTCAATAGAAACTTTATTTCATGTGTGCATTATTTTGATCTAAACTCATTAGCTTAGTCAAAAATGTACACATATGGGAGTCATATGGAGCTAGTATATCTTTTATGCTTATGGTTTTAACTTTACAAAGATAAAGGCGTGTTTGCATAATACTGAACTGTAACAAAATGAACAGGTTTTTTTGCAATGAAATCATTGACTGCTTTGGTTAGCTTAAAAAAGATAAGGGTTTTCTGCATAACCTCAAAATGTCATATGTTGTGAACTTGGTGATACCAGAATTAATATTTTCTCTAAAGCATTTTATGCATCAAAATAGAGACAAAGGACTAGCATGAGTGTCCTAACTCTTAAGAACCCGTAGCTGTGGACACTTCAAGGAAATGACAAAACATGTAATTCATTAAAGTGCAGAAGTCCTTACAGAGGGCTTATACACCTTTTGTTTGCCATTGTACTTTAAGATATAGAACCTTCGAATGGCGTTGTGCTCATTTATTTGGCATCAGTATATCTATGCAGTCCCCCTTCAGAATACTGAGTTGCTATTACTTTTTCATATATAGCTTGCTTTAGTTTTTTCATAATAAAAATACCTGCTCAAATGACCCTGCACTGTCTTTTTCTACTTTCTACACAGGAGTTGTCTGCGTTATTTGGAATTCAGT